TGAAGCACAGAAGGATAGGTCCAACAGAAAATAAACTCCAAGAGCTAAGAGCCCCCCCCCCAAGTCTAGATAGGATTAAACCAATGAAAATATACACAAGATACAATTCTGCTAAAACATAGTAGTGTTAACTACACACACACACACACACACACACACACACACACACACACACACACACACACACACACACACACACACATACACACACACACACACACACACAAACACACACACACACACACACACACACACACACATTCACAAGTTAGTATGAGTTCTATAATCTAGCATGCATATGTACATATAGATTCGAACTTGGCGATTGTTTGCAATGATGAAAATGCAGAGCAAATATGTTTTCTGATAGAGGGTTTCCAAGCGTGTAAGAAGTGTGATTATTACATGTAGCTGTGTATTAACAGTTTACAAACATCCAATGTCCAAGGGCTTTCTACCGAGTGTCCAGTAGAATCGGGCGCGGGGAGAGCTCCTGTAGCTCCGAAGAGAACCCGCCCGAACCACGGCAGACTGGACACCAGGCTGGTCCATCGTATAGAGAAAAGTGATTTAACCTTCTGTCCAATTAACGTTTCCTTCACCGGTGCGTTAACAGCTAGTAAACTCCGGTGAACTATGCACCAGACGCACATAAAATGGCGTCGTTAAACAGACTTGTTCTAAAGCCACTAGGGTTTACCGGTGTCTTGGGAGAACGGTAAGGCCACAGTAAGTAAATTTTATGGATGACATCCTTCGAAGACTCCAAATCTAATGCGATAGGGCGAAAAACAAGGCAGGCAAAAACAAACAAACAAGATTCCTACCTACATTTTCATATAAGTTTTCATATCACAAACAAGAATTGACTCGGCAAAACATCATATCACGGCCAACAGGTCTCCTATTCCTTTACTCAACGGTAATATCTGTCCTTGTAGATGTGTATAGATATCTTAGACTATTAATAGAGCTACTTGTAGAAAAGAGCTTGTCGTACATCACGGGCAGCTACTACATTCCCAATTTGGGTAATCCAATGAGTAGGAACACATTTAAGTGTCAACACTTGTCATCAAATGTGAGCAATGAGCAAGTTTGCTAGCATCCCGACGGCCTCTGAGTTTAGAGACTGCCTACCAAAGCATAAACAGGGCTCGATCACTGACAGAGTGACTCATAAACTGAACTGTCCAGAAGTCATAACATTTGACCTGCCTCATAAAAACAGTATGAACGTAATATGTCCATACGTATATTTAGTGATATTCTACCTATACAATTTGTGCCAGCTATCACGACATCCATCTGTCACTGAAACAACAATCCTCTATCCATTTTTGGCATGTTGAACACGGTTTGAGGGTTCAAAAAATCATATTTTCTTTTCGAAATCATCGTGCAGGCTGATGTCATCAATAAAAATGACTTGCCGTGGCCGAATAATCCCTACCCCGAGTTGAGCATACTTGAAGGCCCTAGTATATAATTATCGGAAGAGAATTGAAGACATTATAACACTAATTAATTGGTCAGCGAAACATGTTTTATGACAAAATCCGCCTTGAGGGATGTGAAGTTACGAGAAAAGACTAATTTAAACTGATCAGGGTAGCTATTGATTTGCAAACGCCATAAGGAAAACATAAATATTTATGCAAAAGAAATAAGGGCATACATCTCAAAGGCATTGTTAAAGTACAATACCTACCATTTGTAAACCATTCTTTATTCATGGGAAGCTCAAATCGGCCTGCGGGCTGCTTTCATTGAGGTCATGAGGGAAGAGGTAAGGGTCAGAGAAAAAAAGAAAGACTTTACACTTTACATCATTAAAAGTAATTATAAAAATACATACATTAAGCTACATCGGCTTAATTTTATGGATGACATCCGCGTGCGCATTGATTTTCTAAAAAAAACAACAACAACAACAACAAAAAAAAAAACTCCGAGACTCTGGCCTGGGTGCCATCCTCTGTACTCCAATGTAACTGGCGATAATAGAGAGCCTGTAGTAACTACGGAGGACGGCACCCAGGTTACCAAAGCTTCGTGGAATATAAGAACTCAGGACAGGGCCAACTCATAAATGCTGCAAAAGGCCAGAGTATGTGTCGGCTTGCCGTAAACGTCGCTATGTACTACAGCAAATTCACAATACCAGCTTTAAATTTGTATCCCTGTGGTTTAGCAGCATTTCATTTTTTTTGGGGGGGGGGGTGGAATATTCTTCGCCCGCGCGCACTAGTTTGGGGGTACTCAGATGGACTGTGTAAAATTTCTTCACCTCACACACCACTCGAGGGTTCTGTTTATCTACAGGTTCTGTCACTGACGAAAAATAGTGGATGCTACTTGAAGCGTCTGACAGCTTTCAAAACCTATCCAGTTTCTAGAACGATAGTTTTCTTGTGTATCTCATTACCTGGATGACTTGTCTAACCTTTGTCGAAATACTAGAAAGCGTTTGCATTCCTTTAGGCAGAAGAGCGTACAGTGTAATTAGAGACGGGCACCGCCCATACAGTTTGTATGGTGTTGGCATGTATTCAGAAAAAACAAGAAATTTTGCTGCCTTCTGACAGTGGTCAACATGCCGAAAATGGGCAAAGATGTCTGTTGCCATGCCGGAAGGTGGTTGGCAATAGGAGTAACTATGAAGAGAGGAGACAAGAAAAGGCTCTGAATTAATGTTTTGTTTCTTTGTGATGCTGGCTGTGTGTATGTGATGTTCCCACTGAATCATTTGTACAATAATTGAGTCAAAATTTTGAATTGTAGGAATCTTGTTTTTTTCGGCCCGTCTTGTTTTTTTCGCCCGCTCGCATTACATTTGGAGTCTGCGGAGGATGTCATCCATAAAATTTACTTGTTGTGGCCTAAAGACCAGAAAGTGACGATGTATTGAATGAATAGAACAGCAATTCTTTCAAGATTGACATTGCGTGGGCTATCCTTCAAAGGGGATTTTGTTCCCACTCGCCAATCTAAGACGATTTGGGGTCGATCGAAAAAACCCTGCACCATTGCTATCCTGGCTTACTGTGGCAGAATTGTATCGGATCCGAGGATTAGTGCAGCGGTGACTAAATCAAACTCTCAAATCCCCTTCTGATCATTTGCCAAAATCATTCCTCTCACAACTTAACATTTGGTCCGATAGGCTTTGGATGTTAAATTGAGATCAATAATTCTCGGGGTTTGGACTACCGACCAGCCAAATCGAATAGGCTGTTTTCGGTAAATGTGTACATGTGCTACTCTCCAAGCAGAGGTTTGGGTTTTGGGGGTATTTTTAGAGTGTTTTTAGGCCTTTTTTTTTTTAACCCGGATGGGTTTGGTGGGAAAAAAAATTCAGTGCAAAAGAGAAACCCCGATAAAAAAGCCTAAAAACACGATAAAAATACCCCCAAAACCCAAACCTCTGCTTGGAGAGTATACATGTGCATAAGTGTACAATCCATGTACTTGAAACGGTAGTATCTGTTAGACTAGTTGATTGCAAAAAAACTGTCTGAACCTTTGCAAAAGGAAAGCATTATTGTTTTTGTTCAATTTCCTCTTCTCCAAAAACATATTAAAGGTCAATGACCTGGACCTGACGGCTATCACCATGGTTACTGGTGCTTTAGCAGACACCATGTGGTGTTGGATTCCATGTACTAGTACTGTATGTAGCTAGCAAGTGGCATGGCGGGGCTGCTCACCACTATATGAATGTGTTTAAGTAAGAAAAATCAGACCAGTGGTTTCTTGGTGTAGACCATGTAAACATTATGTATTTGCTTTGCAAATGTTACCTTTTAGTCTCCTGTTGATATATTGTTACCATGTATTTTTAAAATATGAGAACCAAGAATCGTATTGAAATGGCCTTACAATGTGACGAAAGAGGTCGAGTCAATACACTTCTAGGCATTGTTGATGTGTTAAAAAAGTAACATATAATTATTATAACTAAACATTGAGTCGATAAAAAGATGTACAAAATGACATAAAATTTCACTTTCAAATTCAAACACATCTTTGAAATTTAAAAAATACTACTAATTAATACTATCTTTTTACAATTTTGCAGAATCGTCATTACATTTCACAACAGTCTATATTGGAGGGTAGAATAATGTCTCAAATACATTCCATTACTCTTTCACCATTTACATAATTCAATGCAGTGCTATTTGGCTACTTTCTTCTTGCTGTATGTACATGTACATTGTACAATGTAATTTAGATTTTTCTGAGAGGTACCATTTCTACATTTGCCTAATTTTCACTCAGTACCTGTATTTTGATTTCATTAATACATTCATTTACAAAATGTTGCTGCTTCTGCTCGACTACTGAAACAATTTCTCCTTGTGAAAATCATTGATACTGGAATGATAAAATTTCATACAAAAATATCACTTTGTCCTAACAGTATTTTATATACACATGTAGGCTTATTTCAAGCATTGTTACTGTAAATTCATCTATTTCTGTATGCTTAAAAACATCAGTTACACGCCATTTGAAGTAGATATGTTGTATAGTATATTACATGTACAAAGGCATCCAATGCAATTTCATGACAGCAAAACTGGAAATATTCTGAATAAGGCAATCTTTGTAATATTGACACATACAGCTTCACCTTAGCACATTTAAATCAGCATGTCATACTTTTGTGCATTTAAAACTGCAGAAACAAGCCCCAAGATGAGTCATTTGTTTGCAGGTACATTGTACATTGTACATGTACCCTAAAATCAGCCCAGGGCCCTTCCAGTCACCATTTTCTGTCAGAATTTTGGGAATTTTTGCCCCATGAGGGTCGATATTTATTTTTTTATTTTATTTTTACTGTCATTTTGCACATAAAAAAGTAACAGTATAAAATGAAATTATATACAAGCAAATATATGCTGGAGAGCCCAAGAAACCTGAAGGTTTGTCTATTGGACTCTCCCAAATCCTATTAATTTTACGATATATATTGAAACAGTGTGGTTTCAACTCAGTATGTAGATAAATGACTAGAATATTGGCTTTGAAAAATTGGGTTTCCGAGTCCTAAAAACTGCACTGGATGCCTTTAATAAAGCTATCCTGAAGTTCAAATTCAACTGCATCTTTCTTACAGCCTCAGCAAACAGTTTGGTTAAAAATATGTACTACTGTCACAGTTACATTTTCATGTGTTGCATGGAAATAGTTTTTCCCTCATGTAACTTCAATTATTTTCTGTTCAAACTACCACACCCCACTTCTTGGATCCTCAAACCGGTGACTTGGAGTTGGTGAGTTCAGTCAAGAATCTCACAGCCTTTCCTGCTTCCCTGTAATTATTCAAAAATATAGTGGGAAAACAATTTGAGAATATGACAAAAATAATAACAGAGTGCAAAATATTGAACTAGCAAGCTGGCATTTTTAAAATAGTATTCTTAAAGGTTTTAAGACGTAAAAAGTTAGAAATTCAGGCTGCCAAGACTTTCAAAATTATATAATTGTATAACAGTTTTTACATGAACTTTTTCCAAGAATAACTTCAAGTTGATTGGCTTTTATATTTGCTAGAAAAAAATAGCAACAATAATTTTAGTTTTGGCATCAACTTGAAAACATACCTGAAGATCTTGTGCTAAAAAACGTTATAAAAATAAGCAAAATTGACAATTAGGATATGGAACTCCAGATCTAGGACAAAATATAACTGTTAAATTAAACCAACGGGGGTTTAACCTTATATAGACTACCAAATTTGTACTGAAAATAAAATTAGGCATCAGGGAGAAGGTTAACTAGTATATTCCTAATCCCTAATCAAAGCACTGATCCGTCTAATTAGGTCAAAAGATGAAACTTTCATTTAGATTCCAGCACACCTATTAGCAATGTAATGTTTGTTTTGGATAAACCCCTCTAAGTCTCATTTGCAGGGAATGTTGTTAATGATACTGTACAGGGCTCGAAATTCATTTTTGGGAATAGGTGCACTGGTGCACCCAACCTAAATATTGGGTGCACAAAAATATTTTGGGTGCACCATATAAAATGAAATAGAATGTCAGCGAAAAATAANGCACACACGCAACAATGATTTTATTATTTTCTGACACCTGGATGTTAAGAATACAATGAATACTTAGGCCACACCAATTTAATTTCTTGGTTAACGGATTTTCTCAAAAAAATAATGGAGCGGGCGGGCGAAAAAAAAGTAAAAATAAAAACAGGCCTAGGCATCCTATTATGACCCAAAATGGTACGATAGGACCCATGAAGTCAACACACCAGGCTGGTTCAAAATTTAAACAATGAATTTTGAACTTTTAATGGTAGCACTGCATAGAAAGATGGAATGACTGTAACAAGTAGTAAGAAAAGGACTGTTTTCAACTGTTCAGGGCAAAATATGAGCATTTTGCAGTTGATTCTGAATTTTTATTTTTATTTGCAAATCAGAAAAAAAATGAAGAGGGGAATCCGTTAACCAAGAAATTAAATTGGTGTGGCCTTATAATACATTTAACATCTTCACAATCATACAGAAACCTTAGAAAAGAATTGGGTGCACTGGTGCACCCACAGAAAAGAATTGGGTGCACAGCTCCAAATTTGGGTGCACTAAGGTGCACATGCACCCAGTATTTTGAGCCCTGCTGTATATGACATGTAAGTGTGATTTAGATTGGATAATTGCAATGAAAGACAGATTAGGGTTAATCACCATGATTATATTATGATTGAAATCATTCATACAAAATACCTGATGTTTATTGATAGGAAATCTATTGAAATGAAGACTCATTCTACGGTCAATTTTATGGTCGTTTTCATTGAAGCAGTTACTCTGTATTGTATTAAACTGTCATTTTATGAATTGTAGAGGCTGTATTTTCTATCTAAGAATCGAATACAATACCTACAAAATTTAGTATGAGTTAAATGTTAGTTTAGATTTAATTATACTATTTTTTTCAAAATGTATGAGCTCTACTCTGTGAGTGAGGCCACATAAGTGAGGCTACATATATTGTACATTGTACTTTTTTTCTTTCCCCAATGTTTAAATTTGATGTAAAAACAAGTAATTGATAAAAGAAAAACAGAGACTAAAGACTGGAAGAAAAACTTGACAGTCACCAACTATATAACATAATATACTATCATAAAACAACTTCATATAATACAATATTCCATTATTTACATGTGTGCCATGGCATAGTCTTTTCCCTTTCACTCTAGTTAATGTTCTTCCAGTAAGCAATTTTTATGATTAAAAAAATGAAATGGTGTGGCCTTAAGCAAATCTTAAGGTGCTGAAATTATAAAACAAGAAAATGTTGTGTGAGTTTCCTGTCGTACCTGGCCAGCGGTCCCTCTCCTCTCTCCCGTTCCCGCAGACTCCTGATGGCGCGGATGTCCACGATCCCCAGGTTACAGAACGTACGCACCACCTGGGACAGGACGGAGACAAATTCAATGTCTGATTTGTTTTTTTTTTGCAGTTTGTTTTTTAAAAATAAAATAAAAAAAACATTACAATTCACAATTATGAACAATGTGTGGGGCAACCCAAGAAGCCTTGTGGCTTATCGAGGGGGTTACCCGTATACTCATATATCATTTCCTAAATTACTGTTACAACATGGCACTATCTACATTGTAGGAGAAACAAAAGTTATGAATTTCAAAATAAATCAAACCAGATACACAAGAAAATAAAGTTAGCAAAACGGACTAACTAGCTAATTGATAATGTAAGACAATCAAATATCATAATAGTTAAATCTAAAGTTACAATTATTATATTAAGACAGTTTACCATAAATGCCAAAAGAATAACAAATGAGATTGACATGCAGGGAATATTATGAACAAGACAGTGTCTACATCATATTCTGTACAATATCAACTGTGTACAGTAAACACAAAGAACAATTTAAAAAAGAAAACATTGGAGGAATTTACAGCATCTTAAAACATCTGTTGGCATCTTCTTCTTTTATCATGGAATGGGGGCCATGATACAGTGTTCTAGCCAGGCTGAAAATTTTTTACTTCATCTCAATTTTGTTAGACGTCAAGTCATGTCTGGGGGTATGCAGCGTATGCTACATTGGGAAAATGTTGAAATCTTTAACCTTTAAAATGCTATTTCCTGCATTTTGAGGGGAAAATTTTGTTGGTAGACTATTATATTGAAGCTTCGAAGTTTTGTCTGACGTGTGAAAGATGACGGATTGGGCAAAATTTTTGTTGTCTGTCAGCAGCAGCGAAATTCAGTCAAATGACGGCAACATGGATGCTAACCTATAAACATCCCCTACGCACTCTGGATTTAGGTATGCATGACCATGCATAAAACAGGTGTTGATATCAAAGATCTGGTAATCACGTCTGAGGAAATATGACTAAAAGTTGCATAATAGCTGAGATACATGTAACATGTAATCTTACAATTTGCATAAAAGGCAATTTTGCAAGTAAAAGGGCATTCTATTCATTCAACAAGCAGTTCTGCAACTGGGTAAAGTACACCATGGTTTGGATGGTGTCTCACCACTGGACTACAGCTACATAATGTACAATGTATATTGATTGATATTTCTTGTCTGACCTGAAGTCTGACGTACTCGCTGGAGTCCAGCTCTAACATCTCCAGCAGCAGTCGTAACGTACGCTCCTTCCGCACTCCCAGGGTGCCCTGCAGGTTTTCAGAAAATATTAGCAGTTAATATATTATCTGACCTTAGGAATATTAGACCTTAGGATGGCTGACTGTCAGGAACAGAATCCAACAGAGAAGCCTTGTCACTTTTAAACATATAATGCTCACCAAACAACAGAAGGCTTTGCATGACAAAATCACATTCCAATCTTAGCTTCACAAGTACCGAACACGCTCAACCAGGACAAACAAAATCAGACTACCAAAACCAAAATCCAACTCTCAGAAAAGGCGCTTTCTGTACAGAATGTCACAGTTGTGGAATAACACAGGCGACAACTAGCAAAGTACTGGATTGTAGTGTATTTAAGGAATTGTGTTAAGTTTGCTTATTAATAACATGATACTGTTCACTTTGTAATGTTTTTGTTTGTAATACATGATTGTATGTACATAATTTTATGAATGTGTAGACCACAGGAAGAATAGCCTCTTATGAGGCTAATTGTGGATCTAAATAAAACTCAAACTCAAATCTGACTCAGTAGCTGTGGATGAAAGGTTCGGCCATGGTTGGCATACATGCAGATGTAGTTGGCTGGTGTTTAGGAGTAGGCTGGGGGTGTGGTTGGCAGTTCAATTTGACTTAAATTTGACTCATATTTGATTCATGTCGAGAGGTACATGTACATGTAGGTGTGGCCTAAATCTGGTCAGACTGCTCCCAAACTTCAGCCAACCTTGTTTGAATGGTTGTTCAGGGGGAGGTTCTGAATGTGTGACAGGGGCTTTACATGTAGCATTCCTGACCCACAGAAGGTTATCTTACATGTATTCCCCCACCTCTACCAGCTATAGTTAGTTAGTTCTAAAGACTTAACCCAGAATACCCCCCCACACACACACACACTGACCAATCAATACTAGCTAATACTCTCATCCACGGCCACCTCAATACATCTCCTTTATCTCCAGTTTGCAGCCGTTACTAACATTGACGTACTCTCTATTGGCATGCAGTAGGGGTAGGGACAACTGTTAGCAAGAACTGTATACCGGCAGGCTACTTAGGCCACACCAATTTAATTTGTTGTTTCTCGGATTCACCCTGTCCATTTTTTCCTGATTTGCAAAAAAAAATAAATTTTTTTTTGTTCTAGATCAACTGCATAGTGCTCAATGAAAGACATATTTTGGCCCCAAGGGTTGAACTTGAAGAAAGTCCTTTTCTTCCTAGACAGTTGTTAAAGTTTTTCAATTTAACAGTTCAATTTTGTTTCATCAAAAGCTCAAAATCTAATGTTTTAATTATAAACCAGTCTGGTATGTTCACTTCATGGCTCATATTGTAACATTTCCACCTATCATGGGGTGCCTTGGCCTGTTTTTTTTTTTTATTTCGCCCTGTCCCTTCATATTTTTTCTGAAAAAATCCAAGAAACAACAAATTAAATTGGTGTGGCCTCAGTGGCAAAGAAATGTCTCAGGCATTAAGAAAATGTTCTCTTATCTCAATGGAAAGGGATGGGTAGTTATCCTGTGGTGATACTGTAGGTCACGAGAGAAGTACATTTGTACAAGGTCAATGTCAGGCAGAAGCAAACACAGGTACGACCTTGAAACAAAATCATCCTTAGGCTATTAACTAACAAAAAAGAAGTTAGTATTAAAAGTATGCCATTTATGGCAAACACATTGTAAAAGAGCAGTGTACAAAATACTTTTTTGAACCAAGTTGCCCAGTGGACAACCTATGGCAAAAATTAGGTTGCCTATCAGAATTTTAGGTTGCCCCACCTACATGTACAACTGTATAAGTTACTACTTTCTTCAAATTAATTAATGTCACATATTAAGCCTTTGACAATATTTCTAACAGCCTTATTTCAACTGGGCAACCAGGTACAGTGTGTATTTTGCACACTGAAGAGGCAAGCTCTTGCAGTAAATTTGTAGTAGATTTCGAGAATTTCCAGTTTTAATTTTAATTTTACTATACAAAGAAAAATGGTATGATGATGATGCTATTACATGTACATGTATATAGGGAGAGAGAGTCTATAAATATCTAGAAATTAAAAATGCAGTTAAATTACATTTTGTAGTTTCTACAGAAAAATGAAAATGGCACCAGCTATTATTAAGTGATCGGAAGTCATTTCAGCACCTGGAGAAAACCAGCTTCAGACACACTGATCTACTGGCAGTGTCCAGGCAACATCTGTGTTCAAGCCTTGAAATTAACTTTTTTTGGCGATGTCTCAGGGAGGACCCTAATGGTACAGTATTGTGTGCAATTCGCAAGAATTCTAGGAATGGTACAGGCATTTTGTCCACAGGCATGTGGAATGTCCACAGGCATTTCTCTGACCCACATCCATGCCCACATTCCTGGAACCCTGAAGACCTATCTGCCCCAGATGGCCCTACTTTCTGTGACCCCGGGGTTCGTTCACTATATGCACTTAGGGGAGGAGTGTACTGTATCTGTCTAGACTTAACCAAAGTCTAAGTACCAAGTATTCCTCAAAATCATGAAATGATGGCAGTGCCATGCAAACAATAACCCTAACAGCAACCACCGTCGCCATGGCAATGTATGTTTTCATACATACATACATACATACTTCATTTTGCTTACTGTCTGACTCCCAGGCGCACTATAATTGCAGAGTAGACAGGAAATTCGAGGGAAACTTTTCCGGATCTAAAAGCTGGGACTTGTGCCTGATAAACAAAAGAAGGGCTGACGTTCTATGTTGACTTACTGTTCTGTTGTTTCAAAATGTCCCAAAGTGTCTTTTTAGTTGTTCCGGCCAAGATTTTAGTGGTCAGTGGCCATCGGGACACCGTTAATTTCGAGCCCTGCATGTGTGTTATGCCATTGTCACAACTATGCTCTGAACTTGTGTTTTTTCTTTATACGTTTTTAATAGGATCATTCATTTTGTTAGAACAAACAAGGCCACACCAATCTGATTTGTTGGTTCTCTAATTCGTCCAATTCATTTTTTTTCTTATTTTCAACAAAAAAAAAATCAGGTTCTGAATCAACTTGAAATGCTCATATTATGGCCCCAACAGTTGAATACAGACTACCTTCTCTTCCGAGTTGTTTAAGTTTGATTAAAAGTATAAAATTCATTGTTTGATTTGTAAACCGGCCTGGTACAAATGTATGTTCATGCCTTTTGACCCAGGCTCAAATTCAAGATTGTGCTTTTTCTTTTTTTGAAATTCACTAATACCTTTTCCATGACCCTCCCTTACATGTACATTTGCAATTAGGATGCTGCTTTTTATAGTATATACCATGTTTTGTATGTTTTTGGACAGCGGTATGGCATTGAAAGGTGACAACTGTTCTGAAAGGCGACGACCGTTTACAAGACAGAAAGAACTCACCAGTGTGATAACAGCCTGAGCTCTCACATCCTCACTGGAGTCTTCTAGTCTCCTGGAGACAACAACAACAACAACAACAACAACAACTGTTACAACAACAACAACTTTATCAACAATCCTGATTTTTTAACAGAGGAGAAGAAAGTGGTTATCAAGAAGTTATGTTACTCAAACATATGAAAAATGTGAAAAAGCATAAACATTGTGATTTTATTATACATTGAATTTTTCTCTTATACATTAATGTATAAGACTAATAATTATGCATTACACATTGATGATTTAAAATTTGATTATTCAGGTTCTTTAGCTACATGTATACTCTTGTGACTGAATGACACAGAAAATAATTGTGGTAGTGTATTTGTAAGTTAACAATAATGCAGGTGGGGTAACTGTTAAACTACATGACTGTATCCTTCTGATAATTATGACTGATTGACTTTGCTTCTGGTTACTGAAAATTTTCACTGACAACAAAACAAACATTCTTGAACTCAAAGGGCCCCTAGTAATACATTGTATATCTTCAGTTAAGAAATATATCACAAGAAAACTTCAGGATCTATAACCTTAAAAACTATGGCATTGATAGATTACATCTGTCATAAAAAAATAGACAAAATGATTTAGTACAATGGGCTGACTCCTAGGATGGAATATAAGATGATGGCCAAAGTTTGCTACATGTAGTAGGGTACACTCCACTGAGAAATCTTTCTTCAGTCATGACATCTTGTGAAATGTGTGCTTTCTTTTATATGAAAATTGAATGCTTATCTTTGAGATTAAAGTAAAAGATTTCTAACTTGAAGTTACATGCAGTAACCTACATTCTACTTAAATATTTGTATCTGTCGAAGGGTTAACCCTTATAAGCATGGCTACATGTACTGACTGACATGTATTTGCCAAACAAAAATGATTTTAAATAAACATAAAAAAATTAGCACACTTGATCTTGAAAAATTGATTAATGTGTTATTGATTGATGAATTTTAGGGAGCTTTTGACTTCTTACTCTTAAAGCCCTTGGATATCAAATCACAATGATTATAATGAAAACTAAGTTTTTATTATCAATAAGCATGTGGTAGCAGATACAGTAACTGTGTTACATACTGTAGTTACTGTAATAGATAGTAAGTAAAAAAAAACAACATAATTTGGATATTACCAGACACCACTATATATTATGACAAAGAGTTAAGATTTAACTTTGAGAATATTATTTTGACCTTACATTCCATATCCACATTTCATATGATATATTACCAACAGGTCAAATAGTATATGGAAGTCCATAATTCCATATTTCTGCAGTTGAAAATGAGTGAATTTATGATGGATATGAGTCCCACAACCCCCTGCCCTGTAGTCCACATAATGAACTCCAAAATTGCCACCAATACATCATGGCAGAAGTCAATATTTGCTAGACGTTCTGCATCAGCAATTCTGCTGTGGAATATTCCTGTCCAGTGACATTCAAAGCGAGTACTACAGAGCCTTTTCAGCAAATAGCGCAGATTGCAGTCTGTTGTTTGATAGTTCTACCACAGGCTGCACGGACAGTTATTGCTTGCAGTGTATCATCATCATCATCATCATCTTCGCCGCTGTAGTCATACATGTAAACCTATTAAAGGCATCCAATGCAATTTCAGGGCAGCAAAACTGGAAATATTCTGAATAAGGCCATCTTAAGTTTGTGATATTGAGCAGACACATACTACTTCACATTAGCACATGTGAGACAGCATTTTCATACTTTGGGCGTTTAAAACGGCAGAAACAAGATACATGTAATTGGTACCCCCAAAATCAGCTCAGTGCCCTTCCAGTAAGCATTTTCCATCAGAAGGTAGGAAATTTTTGCTCCATGACGGCCATACATTGGGACAGTGTGGTTTCAACTCACTACGTAAATAAATGACCAGAATATTGGCCTTGAAAAATTGGTTTTCCAGGATCTAAAAACTGCACAGGATGCCTTTGATATAAATTAGGCTGGAGTCACACTGATTTTCCAGACACATTCAAGTCACTCAATGAAGAATTGGAAAGATAAAAAAGTTGAAGAATGACATTCAGACAGGTCAACTGAAGTTTTAAGCCTAATTCAAAATCATAAAGCTGTTAATGTAGTGACCTTAATATTAAAGACGATTTTATGATGCTCTTCATTTTCCTGGCATTTAAGGTCATCACCAATTTCCTAGACGTAACTTGACCGGTTTGGACTTTATTTGTCTTTCTCAAGAATGACAGAGATCATTATACCTTATATGTGCCATCTGTGCAGGGTGCTCTAACTCCAAATCAACTGCTTCTAGACGTCATTCACAACTTTGGGACAATCACAGCACTGAGATATAATTCAGATGAGGTTTGGATTTTATTTGCCTTTCTCTAAAGTAACAGAGATCAGGCCAACTTACCATAGTACAGAGATATTTTCCCTTAATGTTCTTATTCATCTCTTAAAGGAAAGCACCAGACTATTTTATTTCCATTATTTTCTAGTAGTCTATACATTAAAAAGTTGATTTATTTTATTGCTAAGTTGACAATTAGGGGTTAAATCTAAGGAGGGCCCGCAAAATTTTCGCCGCCGATTACGAATTACGTTAAAGTCTCAGAGCTGATTAGGACTTTACAATTTGAGGCTAATGTATTATTACGAATTACGTTGATTTTTGCGGAGGCTAGCTACAAATTACGAAGTCTAAAAAGGCCTGATTATGCCTTATGAAAAAGGGCAGGCAGGCTCTAAGACAAGGGGGCCAATAATTGCTTCTGGTATATTCTTGGAAATTTCCTTTTTTTTTACTTTTTCTGTTCCCCCCTAGTGCAGGGCGCTCTAAATCCAATACAACTGCTCCTAGATGTTCTCGACACCTGTCTAATATTCGGATGATGGATGTATATGACATCATGACTGGCTCCAGCAGACATGATCTGATTAAAGCCGGTTATTAGTTTTTCCCAGCAGGGGTGACTGGAACAGCCTGCTGTCTGCAGGTCCAGTCTTGATGGCACCACTCCCAGCTGTTCCATCATCCCCCCCGCCATGATTGACATCTCACAGGTCAAACACATTCCGCCAAATTGCTTGGGTGAAAGTCAGGTGATTTGATCTTCCTGCCGTTAAACTAGTGGATTTCCCGTCCCCGGTCGCCCGTGACGCTTCATTGTCTCCGGCCTACGGTTATCAGTCGGGGAAGTCAGCGCAATTTTCTACGCACCATAAATATTCATTAACATATCCAGCCGCGGGGATAAGTATGTTATGTGGAACAAGGCTGTGACAGGCATATCCTAGATGACTGCGTACATTCGGGTTATCGGAAAATTGTTCCATAAAAAAAGATTGTTGCTTTAATTTCAAGTCAGAACTTTAAGGACCTACATGACATATTAATAAAAATTTAATTTAAAATGGCAGTTTTAGATGTGTGCAGAAATATCTACAATGTATATTGCTGCTAACATCTAAAACTGAAACACTTGCTGTTCTGAATATTGAATGTGTTAACATTATATTTGCTGTCTCCCAAGTTATTTAACACTATTAGTAACAAGCAGCAATCTAATTAGAAAAACAATTTGAGTCTAGACTCCAGGCTAATACAGTCGTATAATAATTATTACCTCCAAAATGCTTTACCCGGCAGAGGGGGACAAATACAGAATACATTAATTGATCCCTAGGGAACAGTCCAGCTATAGTTTATAATTATCTATAATCAGGTATAATATAATTTATCATTATTATATAATATCTAATGACATTTCTATATATATTATGCAATGCCATATAATATAATAATTATTATATAAGTGTATTAACCCTTTTCATTTTCAATTATCATGTACAATGTAAGCTCATTAGGTACAGTATAGATCTCGATTAACCCATATTTTACCAGCAGTTTGTGATAATCATTACATTGTAAAACTGGTGTGCACAGGCCACTCAAAGTTACGAGGAAGTAACTGGAAGCAGCAAAGCAGCAAAACACCCCCTGCAGATTTGTCTGTACATTTCGAAGGAATCCCCTAAAACATGTTAAGTCTATTATGTCTTTAAGCTCAAATGGTTTTATTTTGTTTTACTTTTTTTTTCTTTTGATGCACAGGTTATCATTTTTCTACTGGTAGATAGATCTGTACTGTACCATTAGGTATATTTTTATAGACAAAGAAAAGCGGGGTTAAACTGTTTATTGGACACCAAATCACTCACAGAAAACAATAAAATTAACTCTGACTTGAAGAACTGAAAGATATAACTCAAGCGAGAGAGTGAGTTATGTGAGAGTGTGGGATGCTTAGAAGCAGATGAACCACGGGCACAGGCCACTCAAATGATTGAGACCTCAAAAAGTTACAGGTATCAGTGACTTGAAGCATCAATTTTGAAAGTATTATAATTATACCTCCTACAGATTTGTCTGACAATAGGAATTCCCTAAAGTGTTCACGGTCTATAATGTCTTTGACCTCACCTTTCAGCCAGTTCATATGCTCTGGTCTTCATGTTCAAGGCCTCCACAGCGAGGGCAACTGTTGCTCGAACCTCCTGTTGGGGAAAGAGATGATGGAATCTACATTGTATTGTCACAGTGGTTCATGTACAACTACAGAATGATACAGACAGTAGTCTGTACTTGCAAGCAAGAAAAATGCACAAACTTTAAGAATACTGTTACACTTACAGAAAGGTATTGCAGAGACAAAGGTAAGTAATTACTGTGTTATAACAGTTATATATTACATTTGTGGTGGTTATACATATACATGTTCATGGACGGCTCATGTACCCAATGCCTTTCCCCTCCAACTCTAACTTTTTCTAGGATCGGTCAGGAAACAAGAAACAACTTTTTTCCGAGGCCTAAGTAGATCTCTTTAAATTCACAGAAACTCACTGTCAGTGGCAGTCATACCATACCAAGGGAAATGAGAGGAGTTGACATTAAACTGCTGACAGAAGTGTTTTGAGTGTGAGCTCATGTCTGGCCTTACCCGTTTTGGGTCGTCCCACAGTCGTCTGTCCAGAATCTGGAACACATGTTCAATATCCTCCTCTCCTGTCAGGAAGGTGGGGCCTGGGGAGAACGGCACAGGGAACAGATATGTCTTCATCTACTGCAATCTCAAATGCAATTTCAGGGCGGCAAAACCGAAAAAGTTTTCATGAGGAAATCTGTTTGAAGTTGACATTTACTGCCATTTCGAAGCACATTTTCTTCTGATCAATAAGATATTTCATACATTGTACTTGAAACATATGAAATAGCACAAAAACAAGCTACATGAGGAGTTCCTTTTTATGGTACATGTACCACCAACAAATAGCTAGAACCAACCTATGATATGATCTTTTTTTAAGAAACAAACATTGCCAACATTTTCTGTCAGGGACTTTTTTGCTTCACAGATATCAGACGTGAGTATGCTAATACGGTTGATTTACATGTAACTAATGACCAGAAAATTGGCTTTGAAACCCCAGTTTTACTGCCCTGAAATTGCTTTAGGTGCCTTTGACCTTTGGAAGTTAACCCTTCCAGCATGTGTATGTAGTAAAACCCAGGCAGACAATAATACTGCAGCTACATGAACATGTACATGTACACAACATGATATTCTTAAAAAAAAAAATCCAAAATTCTTCATCTCAATTCAAGTGACAATACCATGGAACAATATGATTTTATACAATGTCAATGTGTATTTGGTCTCTCAATTCTGTACTAAGTCTTGCATGTATTTTGGTCCGCACAATCATTTATTTTTTTTAATGTAATAGTCAACTTTATCATACATACATTTTAATTTCATAATTAGAGTCGATTCCGCGTCACCGAGTGGGTTTTTTCTCCATGTTTCTAATACGTTTGAATTATTTAGAAGAAAAGAATACCCTAGTAACAAAAGTTCTAAATTTTTCAAAAATTTGAAAATGAACATTTGAATATATTTGAATTCATTTATATATTTCTGAAACATTTTGAAAGTGACTGTACAAAGATCTCTTTATTTAGAATAAATTTGAACTACCCATTTGTTTCTTTCACTATTCGAAATATTTAGAACTATTTCAAACAAATGAAAAATGGTAGATGTGGGTAATTGCCCCCATAAAAGTAGGTGCTAATCCTACTCTTCTGTATTCTTCTGTATATTTTTAGGTTTCACTGCTGGACACTGGTGGCTCTTTTGTTGTAAGGCATCAATGCCTGACACCCAGGCAGTCTACCCTGTACTTCACAGGGATGTGTGAATTACTTCCTTCCCATCCCACTGACCTATTTACAAAATGTTAGAAATAATTCGAAATAATGGTAAAAAATGGTAGAGTGCTGTTAGAAATATTTAGAAACTATTGGAAATGTCATATTCCACATCAGGAATATTTCAAACGTTTTAGAAAACCAGGGAATTATTTAGAATATTGACAAGATGTTCAAAATATTTCCAAATTATGAAATTTCTTAGACAAACAATTACAAAGAATTCAAAACATTTCTAAATAATGACAATAACAACCCACTCGGTGACGCGGAATGGACTCTATAGTGAACTTTAACAATCTCTTTATAACAAATTTATCACCTTAAATTTAAGATGACATCTGAACAATCTATATTTACCTAGATAGGTGATTAACTTTGCAGCTGCAGCTCGATACTGAAATAAAAATATACCGAGTTAGAGTTTTGTCAAAAGTACAATGCATGCATACGATCATGTAGCTGAGTCAGACATTTTTTACATTCAGCTTATACATCAAGAACAATATTGATTCTTTGTGAATTCACATACATGTAGAATGAGATGTTTATTTCTCCATTATCAAAAATCTGTTCCTAAAATCAATGCCATATAAACTGTTCAAACACAGTGAAATCTTTCTCAAGTCTTTCTAAAACCATTTTTAATAAAAGAAGAAGAGAGAAAAAACTTAGCGACTATTGAGGAAAGCATCATTTCCAAATACAAAATTCTACTAAATATATTATTAGTTAGAATGTGTACAATATATAATGATATTGTATAACAGTTTACTTTCCAGAAGACAGCATATTTAATTAATCTTTCCAATCAAAAATTTTGAATTTGATTTGAAGTAAATGACTTCCTCACCTTCCAAACAGGAGATGCCTTGAGTTGTTGTAAGATGGCCTCCCTGACCTGGGGCTCTCTGGAGTTCATCTGTCGCACAACCACCTCAAGAGCCTGGTACAACAAACCACAGGATTAACATGACTACATGTCTACCAAATATTATCTCAAATTTGTCTTAGACAACCACCTGGGAAAATAAGGAAAAGTGGCCTTCTTAGACAAGTGGTCTCAAACAAAATCCAGCACTCGAAATACTGGGTGCATGCACACATGTACACCTTAGAGCACCCAAAATTGGAGCTGTGCACCCAATTTTTTTTCTGTGGGTGCACCTGAGTGCATTCAAATATTTTCATAGGTTTATGTAATAATATAGCAAATATATTAAATGTATTACACAGCACATTCTTGACAGCTAAGTGTCAGAAAAATACATATTATGTGTAATAAAATCTTTATCTTTTTTAAAGGTTATGATTCAAGGTTCTGCTTACTACTTTATTTCATGTGGTGCATCCAACATTTTTTGTGCACCAAATTTTTAACACAAAATCGATGAAATAAATTCTTTGCTTGTGATCTCAACATTACATTATTAAAAAAAATAAATGGTTTTTATTGTCCAAATAGTACCCGTGCAGTCGCAGCCTTTATACGGCTGAATTGATGCAGGGTATCACATAATGATCAATACAAATCACAACAATTACAACAATCAAATAATACACATGATACACATATTTGTTCCACAATTATTTTTTGTGGAACTGTCGCAAGGGTCTGTGCGGCAGCCATTCGGCGCCACAAGGTGACCTCAATACGACTTTCCCCAACAGAGGTTAGGTACCCATTCACACCTGGGTGGAGTGAGGAAAGTCGTGTAAAGTGCCTTTCCCAAGGACACAACGTCGGGGCGCATGTTCAGACATGTCCCGGGTATGACTCGGAATCGAACCCGGGTCTCCCCGGTTCATAGTCGAACGCTCTACCCACTACACCACCCGCCGCCATTATGTTGTAACTTGAGCACCTCCCAGTATAGTCATGTATTAACATGACTATATTATTATCATGGTTTGCCATACATTGTACCAGCTACAATTGTTGAGCAATAAAGTTGATTTGATTTGATTTGTATTACCTTTGCTTTCTTGTGAGGATCCTTGACAGATAAAGCTGACAGTAGTCTCTCCGTGGCCCTGTCATCAGACACACACATGTACCCCAGGCACACAGCGGCATCAAACCCTGTAGCTTCACTTGGGTTCTTAGGAGAACACAAGGTGTGCAGGGCTTTGTGGAGACTTCTGAAGGATTTTGTACTCTGAAATCATAATGGTTTGAGTTATTATAATTGAGTATAACATTACTAAGCAAGTATAAACAACGTCTTTCAATGAACCACAAATTAAAGCACAGTCATGTCAATTAAAGCATCATCACTTAGTCTAACATTCATCTACATGTACTAGATAAGTTTGGAATCTTAAAACAAACTCAGATCTTCAGCAGGAAAGTCCATCAGAGTGTTAATTTGTGTTGATTTTAAAGAATCGAATTGTTTTCCAACACAAAAAGGTTGGGCTAACTGAACTTCCAGTTTTTGTATCTTTAATTTTTTCCTGGACAATGTCTTGACTTTTTGGTCACATAATCAAATACATGTTTACATGATTGTAGCTTATCATTAAAAAAGTGGTGTAAGTTTAATTCCCCTAGCAACTTGTTCTTGAACTGCAGACACATTCTTGGTAAATCTTTGAAAGAGGATAGGTCTAACCTCACCTTGTCAATGAAGTGGATGTTTTTTGCAGAAGCCATGGTTTGGAGCAGGTCTGTTCTGGTGTTGTCATCTCCTTCCTTAATGTGCTGAACAAGCAGGTCTATGGTTGGCTCATCCCATAGTCCTGACAGAAAAAGTCATTGTGATTGGAGGCCATGAAAAAGCAGTTTTAAAAAACTCCACAATGTGACGCAAAACCAAACTGCATGCAATACTAGTAACTACATTATTTTTTTACATGTGGCTATCTACATGTACAAATGTATAAACTTAAGCCATTTACTGATTAAGCAAGAAGTTCACAGCTTAAGTTTTTAACGTGTTGTAACTAAGAAATTTTGACTGATTATTTGGAAGCATGCAGATGTGAAGTGATTTGAGTTTTGCACTTTATATTGTCTTGTGTTATATAATCATAATTATTATTTATTGACATTTTATTATGAACCATTCCATATCTCAAGACAATACTCAGTATTATATCTGATTCTGTTAATGACAATTATGTGACAGTTAATGATAGTCATAATGAGTTGTATAATCTCCTTACCCAAAGTCAGCAGGGATTTGGCTGCTTCATACTTCACTTTGGAGTTTTCATCGTTTGCCACCTGATACAGATTCAATTTGTAACTTTAGTACATACTGCAAATGAATGACTGTCATAAACTGAAAAGAAGAATTCATTGTGGCTTCAGGTGGAAAATACATTTGTAAGACTTTAGCCTTGTTCATGTGAAGTCACCCAAACCGCAATTCGGGTAACTCGCATTCCGCACATCTGGTCGGTGCCCGATCACGATTCTCTGAAACTGCATTTATTGTTGTTTGATGAAAAACCGCAAGATAGCGTGTTATTAATGTCAGAGGTGAATGACCTGCTTGCTGGTGCCCCTCTCCCAGCGTATCTCGGCCGAATGCCGACGTGGTCCCGCCAGAGGCGGTGAAGCTCGCCCTAGAACGGACACATTATTTGACCATTACTGCTCTTTAAGTCGCTGCCATGTAAAATTTGGTATTGCATATAATTAAAGAAATATCACCCCATAATCCACGACCAGGCGAAGTCACATTGAAATCACATTGCGTTCAGAAGCAAATCGCGATACGGGAAAACCGATTCGAAACCACCTCTAGAAATGGTTTGGGATCGAGGCGCTTTCAATGTGATTTGGAGCATTTAGATGGAGCCACTTGAAACCGGCTTCGGGGTAAACCACATGTAAAGTGCCTTCACTGACTTCACATGAACACAGCCTTAGTCTATTTGACAAAGAGAAATTCTGTGGTGGATAACAAAAAGTAATTTTTTTAAAGGAACAATCTAATAAAACACAGATATTGATTAATGTACTAGGTAAGCCCACATCAATAATTATTTAATTTACTTTCTAGTTGGCTTTTTGGCTAGATGGATGGAGAGATAAAATTAATGCCTGATAAACAAACAAACAAAACTTAATAAACAATTGGTGTGGCCTTAAAAGAACAGTCTCAGTACAGGTTGCCCCACCATGTCTCTCAGTGCTGTTATGACATTCCCCTGGTCCAATCCTAGTACTCCTAAACCCTGCAGGGAAACATACAAAAATGATAAAGGTAATTAAACATAACTAGGGACAAAGTCCCAGGTGTTTTAATCTTTAAAATTATTAATTGGGAAGTTCAACACATACATGTACATAATAAACCTAACAGTCTGCAAAGCTGGTGTGTTATGCCAAAAGGCAGTTACATGTGCATGATTGTATAATAATATTAATACATGTACTACATGACTGAATAAATCACACACTGATGTACAGTCATTCTCGTCAATGATATCTCCATTGTAACTTACAATGTATGTTTTTATGATTGTATACAAAGTCATGTACATGTATGTCAGAGTAGAGAAACTTTTTGCGTAATGTTTAACGAAAAAAGATTCATCTGTGATGTGTTGATAAGATTATTATTTTCTATACCTTTGCTGCTTGTCTGCGATCCTCTGGTCTGGTGGATGTCATGGCATCATTGATGAGAGCCTGCACAAGTTTATCAACAACAGTCCATTAGCATTTACAATGTAGTACTATTAGTACTGCACTACGGAATTTTTTTTATGACGATTTACCACATTTGTGGAAGGATTGAAATAACAGGTGACTATCACCTCTTCAAAGATGTCAACCCCGAGACCAGACTGTAAGGTTTGAACCACTCACACCGGGAAGGTCCCCTACTCTTTTCGATAAGTGCGGTGGGTCTTTAACGTGTGTGGGGTGTGGCTCTCCCAAACACGAGACCTCCATTTAACGTCCTATCTGAGGGACATCCCTAGCCAAAGCTAGGTAGTACTACTCATTTCCACCTGTTTCAATTATTGTTTCAAAGTCTTCTGCCCTTCTTCTGTGAAATTAAGTGCCAACAAATTTGAAAATAAATGAATTTACTGCTAATTTTCTGACTTACAAAATGCACAGTACAGTATAAACTCATTTATTTCTTGAGCAAAAATTGTGAAAATCTCCTTTACTTGTCAAGACTGTAAGTAGTGTAAAATACACTCAGTTAAAACTGAAGACATGCAAACTGCATGCACTAATTATAGCTGCTACAATCACATGTGCCGTGTGACTATATCAACAGTTACAGCATAATTATTATCGTATAACCACACATGATTACATGAACATCAACATTAGAAATGGATACTATTAGCCTTTATTCATGATTTGCACAGTTACGTGTAAAATCATGTTATTAAATTTTAATTCAAATATTAATTCAAGATCTGTACTGTTTTTAAACATGGACTCACGGAATCATGTAACAGGTAACATTTACATACAAAATTACATTGTAATTGGTCTAGCTCAAATAAGGTGAACACCCTGCAACAGATCTGATTATCATTTAGTAAGATCAAAGAACATTTTATTTTTCTACAGTGTATGCACTGTTACAGTTACTGTAGCAAAATAAAATGTTCTTTGATCTAACTAATAAAATACATATAGAATACAACACGGGGTACTCCGTATCGCCCGAGGTATCGGCCCAACCGCGGGTCGGATCGCCCGACGGCCGCAGGCCGGAGGGCGATCCGACTCGCGGGAGGGCCGGGACCGAGGGCGATGCGGAATACACCGTGTTGTATTTTATTTATATCATACCCACCCAAGAAAACGTGCCTTTCAATGCAAGATGAGCCAAAAGTTGGTGCCCCTAAACCCTCAAATGCAACATCAGTTCCAACGTCCGGATTCTGTATTCGAATTTTCGAAAGGGGTGCACGCGGTTAGGACGAAACGCGTTCGAATCGTTTTATGGAAGTCATGGAAGTCATGGAAGCGTTCGATAACGGGTTCCGGTCCGGAACCCGTTATCGAACGTTATCGCGGCCCGGGTATGATATAATAAGTAATAGACTAGGGCTTCACTCCTACTGCCATACCTGTATCCTGTCTGCCTTCATGGAGTCCAGTGACGCTGCAGCGGACCTGCCACTGGACAAAGGAAGGGCGTCTGTTCTACCTGTCAATCATGTTAACATCTGGGTCAATTTCACATCTTTCACGCACTTACAGCATCCAGGAAAAATAAACGGCACTTTTTCTGGTATCATGGTTCTATCTGTTGCCATGTGAATTTGAGGGGATTCATTCCTCAGCTAACCGACATCTTGCACACGCAGTCGTCCCTCAGTAAGACACCTGGAGCCGCATAGTTCCCGTTTAGAACTTTTAGTCAGCCTGTCACATGACCGGTTTCGCCTGTGTGGCTTCTTCAAGTATACAGAGGCTCAATGACACAAGTAACATGAAGTTCTCACTTATATACCGGTGTGCAAGATGTCGGTAGCTAATGAGAAATGAATCCCCTCTACTATATAATGGTTTTATCTGTTGTCATGGATACTGATCTGTCATGCTTTTATCTGTTGTCATGGATACTGCTCTGTCATGGTTTAACATGTTGTCATGGATACTGACCTGTCATGGTTTTATCTGTTGTCATGGATACTGATCTGTCATGGTTTTATCTGTTGTCATGGATACTGATCTGTCACGGTTTAACATGTTGTCATGGATACTGCTCTGTCATGGTTTTATGTGTTGTCATGGATACTGCTCTGTCATGCCTTTATGTGTTGTCATGGATACTGCTCTGTCATGCCTTTATGTGTTGTCATGGATACTGCTCTGTCATGCCTTTATGTGTTGTCATGGATACTGCTCTGTCATGCCTTTATGTGTTGTCATGGATACTGCTCTGTCATTGTTCCAAATGTTGTCAAGGAAACTGTTCTAACTTGAAGACTTATTTTGTTATGGATACTGATCTTCTATCATAGTTCTTAATGTTGTCATGGATACTTGTCTACAGTACTGTTGTCATGGACTTTGCTCTGTTATAATTCTAACATTGTCATGGACACTGCAGCTACACACATGTAGGGCACACATTCACACAGCAGTTCACACATGGGTACCTAGTTTCAAGGCATCTGTGTAGCCTTTGGGGAGGAGGTCTGTGGGTGAGGAAACAACACCAGATTGTGAACATTATAACATTACTGTTACATGTACATACACTACAACACCATGTGAACATTACATTTAATTTACAGTTACATGCACTACAACACCATGACTTGTGAATACTACAACACTTACATGTACGTGCACTACAACACCATGATTGTGAACATTACAACTGTTACAGTTGCACTAAATACAACACCATATGTGAACATCACGACAACGGTTACATGTACTACAACACATTGTGAACATTACACACATTTACAATGTACTACAACACCATGTAAACATTACAACTACAATGTACAATTTACAACACCAAATGTGAACATTACAAATACTACAACACCATGTGAACATTACACTACAACACCATGTGAACATTACAATACTACAACACCATGTGAACATTACTGCAGTTACATTTACATTGTACTGTACAACACCGTATGTGAACATTACAACTACATGTACGACATGCATGTGGACATTACAGTAACTGTTACTACTAACATCATGCACACGTTACAATGTTAGACACAGGGTAATACAGGTTGGAGTGTGTGTGCGTCTCAAGCATCAAGGATTCACACATGCGGGGAGCTTAGAATTTCTCTGTAAAAATAAGCTAAGGGAGGGGTGCTGGCATTTCAAATGAGTTTTTGTCTTGACTTGTAAAATTGTGACTCAACTAAAAACTTAATATGTTCTATATTTCAAATTTTTCTTTCATTTTTACATAATTCTGGACCAACTACAACTGTAACTGTTACAGTAACTGAAAATTTCATGTCATCATAAAGTTGTTTTGATATGAAAGGTCATAATCATACCAAACTTGTCCCGACAACACAATTCATTCATAACTTTTAAGGCTCTCTATCCAAATCTATTATAAGGCAACAGACATTCAGTTAATTCTACTGTCTGCATGTACTTACCCATGTTCATGACAGTCCGTGCCAGAGTCATAGGGTCCCTCAATGCAACCCTTTTCCTGGAAAAAATAATACAGATTTTGAATTGTTATTAGACCTCTCCCATTTACATGTACATGCATGCATAGGGTAATAACTGATATGCATCCCAATCTTGTAACAAAATCATATGATTTGCGACAGCAAACATTCTTGTGGCAGTATTAGGGAACCCAGTGGATTCAGGAGAGTTGGAAATTAACTTATTGTGAAGTCTAATCTTAAAGACTATTCTGCCACTAATATGAGAATAATGAAAAGCATGTCATCATTCTTTTCTGTATCAGATTCTGTATTGCTGGTATAACCGCCTTAATTCCACCTTTTATTACAAGTAGTACTACCTGTTTATCATGATCACAGAAAAGCATACTAAGAGAGGTATAACTCGACTTTGTTAGTGTTTGTGCTAGCTTGATCATTTGTATGATAGTAAACAAGTACATTTAACGTATTAATAGTTATATAATAAGCTAATTCTTTGTTTTGACATTGTATATTATATCAATTAACTGAGTAGAAACAAATATGTACAATGTAGATTAAAGGTCAGTCATAAAAGACTAAAAAGAGATTATTAATAATATTATGAAGCAAAATTCCCTACTTGGCTTTCTGTGTGACTCCCATGATCTCACTCATGGACTGTGCGGATCCCCTGGGGCGTTTCCTGCGAGGTTTGTACAGGACCAGCTGGGTCTCACTCCTCATGCTGCCCTGGTTCACGATACGCGGCTGTTCCTCCGCGGCCTGCGGCTCCGTCTCGTTCCAGATGTCCGCCTTGCGAGGAAACTCCACGCTGCGGTCCTATGGGATTTTCATTTGTTTGAATGAAAGCTCATCTGTGTTGGTAGAATCCATGGTTATAGTAAGAGTTTAAGCTTGTTCCACCACAAGGAAAGAACTCACCATAAATTTTTGGTTGATTCCGTCAACCTTTGTCAGATGTGTGATGCAATCGCTGACTTTTCCGGAAGTCGGAAGTGTGATGACGTCAGGAGTGCATCAAAGTGGCGAAAGACGGAATCTGTCATCACACTTCCGACTTCCGGAAAGTCAGCGATTGCATCACACATCTGATGAAGGTTGACGGGATCAACTGAAAATTTATGGTGAGTTCTTTCCTTGTGGTGGAACAAGCTTAAACTCTATAACCAACTTCATTTGTTGTTATGAAATAAAGACTTAACTTTCTTTGCAACACTGGAGTGAATTGGCACTTATATATTTTACTCCAAACTTTTGGTTGACACGCGACCATAGTAGCAGGTCATACGTGCCAGATAACTAAAAATAAAATGTAATTTATCCAAATACTATTATCATAATTACTTATTAATCTTCGCACCTTTTAACCACTTTGAATGTTACACAATGTTGATAACCATAAATCAATAGTAGAGTTTGAATTTCCAATGAGTATTGTTTACCTGGATGTCTAACCTTCATCAGCGAATCTAGGTACTACTCACTATTTTCACCTGAGTTAAGTGAAGAATAAAAAAAAAAGTTGTTCAGTGCTTTTCTCAAGGACGCAACAGTGTTGCCTACCAGGGATTTGAACCCAGAACCTTCAGATTCCAAGTCAACAATCCTAACCATGAGACTATCTGGCCACCTCAACATACAAAACTGGTATCTTACACCTTAAGGTAGTTTTTCCCATCACGTAAGGCCATGTTGATTTGATTATATGGATGACATCCTCTGGGAACCCAAAAACTGATGTGAGATTGCGAATAAAAAAAAATTTTGCAAAAAAAAATTGCTTTCAGTATAAAATTTACGTGGTTTTGAAGGTTGAACAAATGACACAGAGTATGGTATGGCAAAAAATTTACTCTTCAAATTCATTTCAGTCTTTACATTTTCGTCTTTTTTTTTCATTTTGGCATTGTACGACATTGGTATCGTGTTCCAATCTTTTTTTTTTTGCAACTTACATTTTATATATTTGCTAATTTTGCAACTGTTTTGTACAATTTACAGTCTGGTTGAAAACTTTTTTTTTTGGAAATGGCTGAAAATTCATGCGCGCAACATGGACTATAAAAAAATGACAGAATCCTACAAAAGGCCGTTCTGACTCACAGTTCTTGTGATGGGTTTTTTCTTGGGCGGAGGGACGGGTTTGGGGTAGTAGGTGATGCGTCCTGATTGGCTGGTGCCCAGACGCTGCGTGTCGACAGGCGGGAACGTCACCGACTCAGCGCTGGGGGGCGGGGCCAGACCGGTCACCCGGGAGATCGAGGGCTGGAAATGGAGTCAGGACACAACATCAAGTTCTATCTGTCACTGAATAATGAGATGAGATAGATGCATATCATTACAGTTAATTATCTGCACACTTGTTTGTTTGTTTGTTTGTTTGTTTCACATAACTGGTAAGACGTCTTTAGGCGTAACACACCAGTTTTGTACATTTATGTACATGTACAAGCTGTGTAAGACCGGACTGTAAGGTTTGAACCACTCACGACCCCACCCCCAGGTACATGAAGACATTGACAGGGGAGTGAGCTTGGTAAAAGTTTACTGTTTACATACGTGTGTAGGAATCAGGGTGTGTGGGTGGGGGAAATTGTTTGGATTTGCTTGAAGGAGCCCCACTGCTCACCACTACATGTGATGGCCATGCTCAAGTGAGGTCAGGAGCCAGCATGTGCATCTAATTACATGTACATAATGCAAATTATCGATGCAATCAGTATGGACATTGTGTATATTTTAATTACTTTGTATATGTCTTTAATATACCTCATTTAAATGGTCATGCATTAATGTCTCACACCTCATTTAGATGTTCATGTATTGTCTCACAATTTTTTTTATGTGCCAAATGGTACCCAATTCAGGGGGAAGTAGTTATGCTAAGTACATGTAAATTGTCTGAAAAATGGCTATCTCTTCAACATACCATCTTCATCTTGCCAGGAGGACTCCCAGGTGTAGTTAGAGTTGTGGCAGCCTGACTTCCCAGAGCTGTATAGTGAGAAAAAGCTGGTATATAAGTACATGTATTTGCTATAATAAACAGATTCGAATTAAAATACAATACACTGTGTCATGTACAATGCATATGAAAAGAAGCTATACTGGTAAGTGAAATATTGTGCAACTGTTGTGCGATAAAGTTCATTCATATGACATAAATTACAAACAGACTTGTTTTTTACCTGTTTTTTTCCTGTTCTGATATAAGGCATGTGAATTTTTAACTACTGGTACAAGCATGTAGATCCCAGTCCCTCTTCCCCTACTCAATAATTCATATTTTGTTCTCGATATTGTTTATCATGGTGTAGCACATGATATCATGTGATAACAAGACAATGACATGATGATTGGTAAGGCCAGTACTAGTGTTTTGTCTCTATTGTAATTTGTCTGACTGTCATTTATCACGTTGTACAGCATGCTGCATGTAAAGGGATTACATTTGTCACAAGTGTAACAGTGAGGACTTAATAGGCGCTACCAACTGACCCGGCCGAGGGGTCTAGACCTTTTAGCTGATTCAGCAGGAGCGTTGGATTGTAAGCATTGCAGAGCTAAGTAACAGTGGGGGGTTAATAGGCACTATACCAACTGACCCGGCCGATGGGTCTAGACCTTTTAGCTGATTCAGCTGATTCCTGGAAAAATTAGGGTCTGTAGGTAGGGATTATCTTCTTTTTTTCTTCTACACTTCAGTGATATCTACACTGTACAAATGTATATGATACAGGAGTCCAAATTATAGAATACAGTTTAACAAAGTAAAACTTGCATGACACTAGTTAAATTTATTTTCAATGTCAATACTAGAAAACCAATGTTTTATCACTCAGGTGTCAAATCATGGAGCTACAAAAAGTTGATCAGCTCGAAAAATTATGCCCCTTGCAGGGGTCTACCCCCCCCCCCAAAAAAAGTCTTTGGTCGGCAGGTTTTTCTAGGGTGGGTCGGGAAACAGGAAACACAACATTTTTTCCTAGGCCTTAGGCCACACCAATTTAATTTCTTGGTTAACGGATTTATCTAGAACAATAATGGAGCGGGCGGGCGAAAAAAATTATAAACAGGGCTGGCCTAGGCATCCTATTATGGCCCAAAATGGAACGATAGGAGCCATGAAGTCAACACAAAAGGCTGGTTCAAAATTTAAACAATGAATTTTGAACTTTTAATGACACCACTGCATTGAAAGATGGAATAACTGTAGCAATTAGGACTGTTTTCAACTGTTCAGGGCAAAATGTGAGCATTTTGCAGTTGATTCTGAATTTGTTTTTTGCAAATCAGAAAAAAATGAAGCGGGCGAATCCGTTAACCAATAATTAAATTGGTGTGGCCTTAGACAATGTTTTTACCCAGTGATGACACGGCCACAGTATCGTTCCAGTCCTTGGTTGACCAGCGCGGGTCCACCTGTACCGAGCTCTCCGCAGCCTGCTCCACCTTCTCGTACATCCCGCGGAGGCTACGCGACAACTTGTCAAGCGCTTTCCTCTGAAAGGTCACAGGTCATCATCTAATCAATCATGCTTAACTGCATTGAATTTATCAATAGACAACAAATGCAGACCTTTTGTTGTAATGTTCTTTGTATAATTTGTGTTTACTAGGATTTTTGACAATAATGAGACAAATAACAAAGAATTTAAGCAATGTTTTGTTTTGTGACACAAAATCCTGCAAATTTTTTTTTGCTGAAAAGTCATGTACCATATTATGTATACTGGGCAATCCAGAACATTTTATGGTGTTAAGGCCACATGAATTTTCGGCCGTTTCCAAAAAAAAAAAAGTTTTCAACCATACTGTAAATCGTACAAAACAGTTGCAAAATGAGCAAAAATATACCATAAGTTACAAAAAAAATTAATAAAAACTATACCAATGTCGTAGACTGCCAAAATCAAACTTAAAAAGACGAAATTGTAAAGAAATGAACTTGAAGACTAGATTATTCGCCAAACCATATTCTGTGCCATTTGCTCAACCCTCATGACCACGTAGATTTCATAATTTTCATAATGAAAATAACTTTTTTTTTTTTTTGCAAAACTTTTCTTTTATTCGCACGCGCGCATCAGTTTTGGGGTTCCCGGAGGATGTCATCCATATAATCAAATCAACATGGCCTAACTTGTATCAAAAATGTGTAATATTGCATTTGCTCTGAATGCATTTAAATTAAATTCTTTAACCTACTTGTATTCATTTCATCATGTAGATAAAGTGTCTTACATGTGGGTCGATGATGTCACTTCCTTTTCTTCTTGGTCGCCATGGCAACTCTGGGCTGCCAGGAACATCTGGTCAGAAGGACATCAAATATGTATCAAATGAAATGTTATATAATCTTAAAAACTAAAAACTTTTAACTTAACTGAAGGTAATATTTGCAAAGCAAATGCAGAATGGTCTAGCCTCTAGCCTAAGAAACTACAACTGTGTTATATTAATTTTCTAACCCACCATAAACACTTATTAAGCTGACCAGCCCCTCCTACTGTCCTGCCACTTGTTACATAATGTAATCCTGACATAGAGTGTGTACTATAGAACCAGTTACTATCATAATCATAATGGTGACAGATGTCAGATAAAGGTTATTGATCTTATTTACTTATTTGTTTGGAGAAGAAGTATAAAAGATTTAGTAATAGGTGAATCCTAAACAATTTTTTTAAGTGGCAATCTTGGAGCTCTCTGCAGATTTTTTTATTTTTTATATTCCAACATATACAATGTAATCACAAGACCTCACCAGGTGACGGCACACTCAAGTTTTTTTCAACTTATATTAACGCCAACACCAAGAATGGGAAATTACAATACTCGTTTTCACCTGAGCGAAGTGAGGAAAATTGTGTAAATTGCCTTTCCCAAGGGCACAAGATCGGTGGCATGTCAGGACTCGAACCTGGGACCTACACTGCAGAATTAGAAAGCTCATTACAACTTGAGTGTACTTACATGGTTCCACATAGCTGGAGTGCACAGCCAAGCCCAGCTGGTGGTAGGACAGTGGGTTCTCCTCCAGCAGGGCAGTAGCATAGTCGTTCCACTCATAGCGGTGATGCTTGGAGCTCCAGTAGTCAGACGTACCACCAGGCAGCTCTTCTGTTTCTGTCAGGAACACCCCACTGTCCTCAGCACCAAGCTTGCCTGGAGTTTCTATAATCAAATCAAATTGAATCTCTTTTCTATGTTCATGCCCATGGGGCTAAATGCATACATTGGAGTAATATTGATGTTACATGTCACATCTTATTGAGTAATATAATACATAGCATAGAAGGATATAAGAATAAATTAATGCTAAAGTCTTAGGAACTACTAGAGAGAGAGAGAAATTCTGTCTAGAGTCTAGCGTATAATTATAGGATTCCTGAAAAAAAAATTCAAGCCATGGAATGTAATACAAAATTCATTCCATGGCTCGAAAGGTTTTTGATTGTCAGCACACTGTCAAAGTTGGTCCAGTGACCACTTCCATAAAAAGACCATCGGCCTAAGATGACCGCTTTTCACCGGTCCTGAATTTTTCCCTCATAATCATAGATCACTTAGCATTTAAGCATTGTGCCCAAGATGACCACTTGTCTTCTGTGACCACGACCACCCAAAGTTTCCAAAGGATACAACTCTGATGCCAGTGCCAGGGACTCAGGGCTTGAAATTCATTAAAGGGAATAGGTGCACTGGTGCATCCAACATAAAAAAATTCATGTAGGTGCACCAAAATTTTTTCGATGCACCATATAGACTAAAAAAAGTAGTAACAGGAAAAATTGGGTGCACAGCTTCAGATTCGGGTGCACTAAGGCACACATGCACCCAGTATTTTGAGCTCTGAACCCAGAATCTTTGGATTATGAATATAACAACCCTAACCACTGTCAGCTTAACAAAACCTTCATCACAGAGGTAATAAAATGGATACTTCACCTGTTTTGATGTCCTGTAAAGCAACCTTCTTCTGTACTTGATGATCGGATGAGGAGTTTTCTGTTGTCTCGGTGGTCTGGTCTTCTGACTGTCTGCTTTCTGTGCCTTTTGATTCTGTTGGATCTCCTGAAGAGTCCAGCTGAAGGAAAAATAAATTTTATTCAAACATAATAATGAATGATGATAGGAGTACTAACATCGAAGAACTAAAAGTTACATGTAGACAAAGTCATTAAAGCATTATGTAACATTTATAATAGGATGGTACAAATTAAAAAAAAAATACCAGCTGTCAGCCATGTTTGTTTACATTCTCAATGGTAGTTTGTGGTGGTACCACAAATTGAGTTCACCTTATGACATTGTGATCTTTTTTGCAGCCAACCATAAATGTCAGAAATTTGGTATAATTGCACAAATGTCTAAAAGGAGAAGTCATCTTTTTTTCTTTAATTTTTGGTGCAAAAATGCAAAGTAGCATATTAGAATAATGACCTTTTTTTACTACTTTGAACCTCTGTTTTCCAAGCACACAGTATATATTATTATTATTAGTAGTAGTAGACTGACTGTCTTTTACATGGCAATGCAAAACGTACAGACTCGGAGGTTATACTGCAATTAGCCATACATTTATATTACTTATATCATACGTCATTTATATAGCCATAGAAAAATAACATTTTTGCAATGAAAGCCATATGAAAAAGTTTTTTTCAAAAATTGCTTCAAAAATAAATAATTATTGAATATTCATTATTGATTTTCCTTAAAATCTCCACATACCTCTCCTGAATCATCTTCTCCTGACCCGTTCTCCATCACCCTCTCCTCTTCCTCCTCCTCCTCCTCCGTGGAGCTCATGTCTTCAGACTCCTCCCCTGACTCTGTCGAACTCATCTCCTCGGAGCGCTCCCCATCACTACTGTACATGGAGCTGGGAGGATACACTGTTGCTTCAGTGGCCAGTGTCAGCTCTCTTACTTGCTTTCTGATATGCAGTGGCGGCAACGGCGACATATCGTCCTCGCTGTCCAGTCTCCCCTGTAAGACTCTCTCGTTCTCCTCCCGAATATCGCTGTACGGTCTATCGCTGGAAACGGTGGAACCCTCCGCGGACGCTGTGCGCCGACTCTGCCTCCTCTTGGTTTTCTTCTGTTTCTTCTCAGTTACTTTGCTGTAAACCTCGTCTGGAAGTTTTTCTACGGGAGTTGGTGAGTCGAACTTGTCGTCTAAGGATGCTCTCTCCATGTCGTGGGAAATGACGTCGCCTTGGTCGAGTTTTTCCAAACTGTGCTGCAGACTTGGCTGGAGGTGTGGCACCACCTGGACCTCTCTGTGTGAGAGGGAGGGGATACTGTCAGATGACAGTGAGTGGGAGAGTCTGTTTCTGTCCAACAGGCCTTCAATTCGGCCTTCAAGCCACTCCACTCTGTCTCTGGCATGCTGTACCTGGAAATGTTAAGACACAAAAAAAATATGATCAGTTACTATCACATTTCAGTAACATTTCAGTGAGGCTTAACTGTTACGACATAATGCTAAAGTGATAATATTATGACTGATCTCTTACTGACAGTTACTGTCTTGTGAGTACTGGCATGCTACTGACATTGAGTCTGAACTGGTACTGTTATAATTAGATTGTAGAAAAGACAAACAGATTGCATGATTCTACCACCTCTGAACACTATTTCCTCTCAGTTGCGTTCAGCCACTACCTTATTACAAGTTACAGACAATCAAGAAAGGAACGAAAAAGGACATGAATATGTATTTAAAATCATTTGTAAAATTCCTATTTGAAACAGACACTAGTACCAACCTCCTTGTCCTCCCTGATAGCTTTTTTCAGTATTTCTCTTGCAAACAGCAGCTCATCATTGATCTTCGAGGCAACCTGTTCAAACAGTAACTTACTGATTATACCTAACAAACTGATTGAAATGTACTACCGGGGGTTAAAATATCATTGTATAATGTTGTAAAACACAGTATTTATGGGCAAATCCCATAATCAAAATTACGGGCACAAAGTAGTGCAGCACGGTTCTTGAGATAGCTGCAGAGATTACAAATTACATTAAATTCTCAGAGCCCAGATTAGGAACATTTACGCGTTACGGCTAATGTACTGATTACAAATCACTATGCTTTTGGTAAAAAGACCTGATTACGCTTTACGAAAAAGGGCATGCAGGGCCTTGTACAAAGTTACATTTCGTACCATGAGACCAGCTCTCAACCTAACACACAGTGAAACGGCTCCCCCTAGTGATTCAGATGCAAACTGACCTGAAGCTTGAGCACCATCTCCTCAGACTTGGCCCTGAGAATGTGCACCTGAGTGTTGTGGAAGTCCACTTCTGTGATGGAGCGGGAATTCTTCAGCTCATGTAGCGACTTTGCCAGGCTGTCCTGAAGGTCTTGAATCACCTGGACCTGAAGAAATGAAAAAAATATAGTTCTTGAACATCCAAAAGTATCTACAAAGAAACGTTTAGCTTATTTTCTGTGGCACCCCAAAAAATCAGACCAGGACCCTACCAGTAACCGTTTTACATCACAATTTTTGGTATGTTTTGTACCACGAATGTTGATATACATAATGGGATAGTGTTCTTTCAATTGTGACTTTATGTCATACCTGGGCCGCAATACCGCTCAAGGCCGAAGCTAGACTTCGTATGCCTTGGCGAGGCAGCTTTCCAGTAGCTCAGTGGTGCACTTCAGTACGTTGGGCGAAGGTCGTAGGGGGAAAACTACGCCTGCGGTTTTAAAGCCGCCCCCCCCCCCCGTTCCCTTCTAGTCGTATCAGTCTTTCATTGTGAAATGTCGTCTTTTATGTCATTATTTTATTTTGATGTGTCAAGTTAGCAGGAGTGGGTTGGTGGAAGCACTTGGACAGTAACCTGTGGTGGGTAGCTTGACACATCCTTTTTCTGTTACCTTTCCTTTGTCTATGTCTCAGTTACGTCGAAAAGTTTAAAAAAAAGAAAATACAATGTAGTCAAAAAACCGGCTATCTCTCTTGTCTAGTTTTCCCTCTCTTTTTGATTTTTAAGTTATACCCCAATTAAAAACGGGTGTTCTGGCCCATGTGATAAGTGGTACGGCCCGTGGTTCTCTTTTGTTATCACACTGGCTTCCCGTTGTTCCATGAATAATTATGGGTTCACCACACCACGAAGTGGTGGTGAACCCATATTGCTTTTTCTGATGTTTCTTCTCCTTCTCCTTCTCCTCCTCCTCCTCCTGCCATATCTTTAAATGGATTCAGCTTCTTCATTTTAGGGCCTAAGGTCCTGAAATTTGGTATGGAGGTACAGTGGGCAAATACCCCTAGGCGTTTTTTAAATTTTTGTGATACAGGCTTTTAGAATGGTTTTATTTGAGTTTTTTGGCTGTGTTATAGCAAATGTATTACTGTGTTAGTGTGCCGTGTTTACCACGTCTGGGCATGAGTCATCACAATGGAATGCAGGGCATCAACCAATAGGCATGCAGCTTTCCTCTATACTTCTTGCTGATTGGCTGTTGGGATTTAACTTGATTAACACCCGCACAGAGCATTTCCACCTGCACAGAGCATTTCTTGCTGATTGGCTGTTGGGATTTAACTTGATTAACACCTGCACAGAGCATTTCCATACTGACAGTATGTCTTTATTCAAGTGTTTTGGTAGGTATTTCAAGCTTTTCTGCTCCAGCATTGGAATGCGGGGCATGAACGTTTTTTATTTTATTTTGAAAATCAACAGTTTGCATTATGCAATTAAAAATCCTAACCAATAAAGTAGGGAATAGCTATCCAACTGTTGTTTTAGTTGTATGTTACTCCATATTATAGTTATATCAATGTAAATCATTGTTTTCCCTTGTGTTTCTCATTCTTTCCCTGCCATGTGGTAAAATGTGGTGAACCCATCGCTGTATTTGCTCCAAAGCAAATATTGGCCTTTCTAGTTTGAATGCATTTTGTGCACACTTTTTATCTAGAATATTGGGTTTTCAAGCCCTAAAAACTGCATTGGGTTACATCTCATGAATTCAAAAAAGTCTATCAGCCAACAAATCTAAAGAAACAGTCAAATGTACATAATTTATGTACAGATCAGTTAGTCTTTATTCTGTAACAGAAGATTTGTCTCTGGAGGACATTACATGATGATGCGTCACTGTGTCATCCGACATCAATTATTCAAAAGACCTTTTCAAGAAAATCTCGGCAAACGTTAACTACACAGGAAAACGATTTGAACTATTATGCTCTACACAAAAGCAATGAGCTCTTTACTTTAATTACTTTTTAATATGCTTTGTGCATTAGACTGACTAAATGCTCTATCGTTAAGTGTTCAAAGTTGTTATTGTCATTTTAATCTGTTATTATGTAAATCCATCAGGGTGTAAAATTGTGTTTTTGAACTTTTGTGTAATTTGAATACCAGGCCAGCAATCAGTGTTTTGAGTTTGATCTAAACAATGACAAATTTAATCTAAACAGCACTATGGCCTGCATTGTATTTTGTTAGTGCACAGGAAAGGTATACAAGTTTTTTTTTTCATTTCTTATGTACTTCAATGTTTTGTAACCTCAGAACAAGGCTCATGCAAACCTCTTATAATAAGTTAGATGTCTTTGGTTACTTACAAGTGAGAACTTTGTGAACTTAGCATATTTGGCCTCTGTACATTTGAATAAGCTGACAAAACACGAGTTGTAACACAGTCTCTGAAAATTTAAACTATATGCGGCTCTAGATAGTCGGCTCTAGATTGAGGGACATCACTGCTTCAAGTGAAAAATGTTGGTCAGCTAGAGGTATGTCATAATGAATCCAAGTGTTAAAATTAGTAACTACTATACAGGGCTGGAATTACCCCTTAATAGATTTGATGCTGTGCACCTAATTTTTTACTGGTCTGTACCAGTGTAAGTATTAGCTTTTTGTGCAAGTATTTTATTTTTCCACTGTGAACCTACGTATGCATCTTTCCCAAATTAATAGTAAAACTATATAATTTAGACTTGTCCTTGTGTACACTTACCCTAATTTTACCTGCAGTAACTTGCATACATGTACTATGCTGTGGTTCTAGCCCTATACATATACATTGTACATTTATTTTGGTACTTCCCACATACCTGTTCTTTGATAAGAATGTCTGTACGATGAGCCACAGCGAGTTTGTCCCGTAGTGGTGCTCCGCTCCGTACTGACCGCGGTCTCACCAAAGACGCCATGACGTTCTCAACTGAAAAACAAATTATAAGTTAAACTTAAAGTGGATGGCTCTTAAAATCATCAGTTTAATTCAATTGCTTAATCTGTATCACTGCATGTTTATGTATGTAATAATAATACATGTACATGTACTTTCTTTTTGAAGCTCTCTAAGTGACTCAATTGTATCTGTATCTCTAATCATGGAGGTAAAATCTCATTTTTCTACCTCCATGCTCTAATCTATCTCGCAACAATATCTGTATATATGATATTGTGTACCTCCCTCCCCCTTGGGGCTTAAATATAGCAATAAAACCTCTAAATTCCCTTTATTTTTAAAAGTCTACAGATTGCGGGATTCAGGTTTACTAACATTAGTAACAAAGGCCTTCTTTTTTACTAGACCTACCAATAATACCATGTGATTATAATTACAAGCAGCAATGTTTCTAGGCTTTATTTTAGACAATGTTTATTAATCACAGGATTTATGGCATAATAAAAGTTGAGGAGCATCATTTGTTTAATAACTGATAATCTCTGTACAGTGACCTCGCTTTATTAATAATATTATAACTAAAAAAAAACCTGATATTTCCCCCATCTCGGATCTCCTATCATTTATTTGATAATTAGAAATAAAGATCATTTTAATCGATTTTCTATCAAAAATTCTTGGCTGAATTATCATAGAAATCGTAGTCACGGTGTAAAAAGAATTCAAACACTTTAACTATAACTTGTTGGTTTTAGCATGGAGGTAGAGAGAGGGCACTTCATCAATCTGTGTTTTGAAATGGAGTGAGCGTCTCAAGTTGCTGTGGCAACGAGGCGGGCGCGCGGCCGACCGTTTCCGGACAACAACCCGACAAACTACGAGCAAAGACGCCGTCTGCAGCTTTCTGTAAGTCTCCCGTCGTCTTTAAGACTTATTTACCCATTTCTCACCTGTCTAGACTCGGTCACCCAAGCACGGGAACTTTTTCTTCCGATTTTCTTGGTCGCCCTGGCATCGTGACCCCGAATGACCCTGCACTTCTCAAAAACGCAACTACACTCGTTTACGGTGCTCAGGCCTTGATGCAAAAGATACCGTACGAATTTGGCAACAAATAGAACGTTAATATATTAAATATATTATTTTTATTCCAATTTTGGCGATATTAGGGAAGCTTTGGTGAATTATTTTCGTAATTTACCTTACCCTGACTTATGAGCGTTTTGATGCAGTAAATCTCGTAAAATCTCGCCAATTAAGTACAAGATGATCTCGCGATTTGCGAGACCCACAACTCCGCGCGCGAACCGTCATCTGCCTCTTTCCGCCGACATCTTGGATCGGTAACACTAGGTAAGGATATGGCAAGAAAATCGGCCTGAATCTAAATATTTAGAGCAATTATAAAGACCATCTGTGTCACGGCTTGTTGAAATAAACTTTAGTGAATTAGATAAGTAGAATATTTTGGTTCTTTGTTCGTGGAATAAGTCAGTATCTATGATAGAAAACATAATATCCTACCGAACCCTCCGTATTGGCATGTCTCTGGTAGCATAAATAGTATATACGTGTGTAGACTAAACCGATCGGTCTCGTATATGATGTTAAAAGAAGTATGAAGAAAATTATGTTTTATCGATCGATGCAGATATTTGTTTCAAAAAGTACACACATTTTTAGAACTGAGTACCATCATTTTGTGTTGATAATTCTTTTAGAAGCATGTCTCGATTTGCTACTAAAATTCTGGCTGGTTGTACTTCTATGTGGTTGACGTTATGTTACGTTTATTAAAGGTGATCAGGGTACCTTTAAAGTTATTTCCAGGTCAACTATTGGTGGATTACTTGAGCACTAGTACTGTAATTGTTACAGATCTACAGGCACATGTGTATAATTTTTTTGACCAAGGAGGTAACTGTACACAGTATTTTTGTGTGTATTCACAGTATCATGATTAAAAATAAAATTATAATTTATATGCTTTAGTTAGTATATTCATGCACAAAAAGTTTCTTGATATTTTGAGTGACAACAGATGTAACACACCTTGTCGTTTCCCAAGGGTTGTTTTTGGTGTTGTTTGTGTCATCTTTATGCATGTATGTGTCCATGTAAATGATGTATGTACCGATTGGCCTGTGTACAAAAACCTGAAGTGTAGTACCCCAAGGGCTGGCGTACAATCTGATCTGAAAGTACGTTCTAATCTTGACAAACGTTAAAGCATACCGATTTACATGAAGGAAAGATTCTACATGCAGTTTTCACACACTGGCGCGTGTACGCAGTTTTCGCACCATCAGATTTTTACCCTCCATGAAAATGGGGGTACTGTTTTTACTCCGTTTCATGTTTGGTCTGATATCTGAAGATCGGTGAGAAGGAACTGTACGATATTTGGCAGATTGATGGATGGGGCCTTGGAGATTGTGTAGGTTGACTTTGAGCCCCTGGTGATTGACCTTGGTACTGCAGTTTAATTTTTTTATTCTGTTGTTTTCGCGTTATGGACTGTTTGTGCGATATTAAGGTAGCATGTAGTTGTTATTACCATGGTTTAGTGGTTTAAATTTGGGTCCCCTAGCTGTTTGCGTTTGATATTTACAAAATGTTTAATGTTGGACTTTTTGTGTTGAATGTTTGGAAAATCTGGGGGATGGTTTGGTATGATTTTTGGTATGTGGGTAGTTGTTGAGTCTCTTTGTGTTTTGGAGTGCATTAGCAGGTTGTCGCATATTTTTATTGCTTAATTTAAAAGGATTTTCACTTTTTCACCCCTACTTCATAATAGGATGGTCTGTTTGACCCAAAAGTTGGGACAGAGTGTTTTTGTTTATACCTCCAGCTGGCAGGTCAGACCCAGGCAGTCCTATCTATTTTTACCCCTAGACAGTCTGCAGGAAAATAAATCTTGTTTGTCTGGTCTGCAGGTCATTTGCCTGGTCATTGACCTACATGTACAGGCAAATGTAGCCTGGGTACCATCCCCAGTAGTATATTCGCAAACTCTATAACAGTTATAGAGTTTGTGAATATACTACTGGGGATGGTACCCAGGCTAAGGCAAATGACCTGCTGGCCATCAAAGTAAACAAACCATGGTAACAAGACACTAAATGCCTGCACATGACAGCTTGATAAATACAAAGTGACACCACAAATCATTCTGCTGATAAAAACAAAGTTTGACTCATAATATCTCTATTGAAATACACCAAAAGATTACAAAATAACAAGCTATTTCATGGAGGGATGATGTCTACGACTTCTCCTTGTTGTCCCTGTGTAAATCAATCCTATGAGTGTATGTTTACGATGGAATCATTTTTGCTGAAATGAATGCATGAAGTCTCTGCCTTGTTGTTGTTGTTCATGTTGTTGTTGTTGTTGTTGTTGTGCTGCAGCCACCATGGTGCGTATGAACGTGCTGGCCGATGCGCTCAATGCCATCAACAATGCCGAGAAGCGTGGCAAACGTCAGGTGATGCTGAGACCCAACTCCAAGGTCATTGTGAAGTTCCTGACTGTGATGATGAAGCATGGTAGGTCGACATTATATCTTATTATGTGTCAAATACTGTCAGTTTTTCTTTATAACATATAACTTATAAGGCCATGTTGATTATATGGATGACATCCTCTGGGAACTCAAAAACTGTGTTTTGGCAAAAAAAAAGTTAGGCAAATAAAAAGTTGCCTTCATTATGAAATCTAGATGGTCATGAAGGTTGAACAAATGACTGGTGAATAGTAGACTTTTCATTTTCGTTTGTTTACATTTTGTTCTTGTCCTTTGGTATTCTGCGACATAAGTATCATTTTCCAATTTTTTGTCGATTCATGGCATACATTTGCTCATTTTTCAGCTACTTTGTATGATTTTCACTATCACAGTATGGTCGAAAACCTTTTTTTGGGAAATGGACGAAAATTCATGTGCACACGGATGTCATCCATATAATCAAATCAACATGGCCTAAAAATATGCTTCTCAGCAATATATATTATTATTAGTGTCATTCATGACTAGGGCTTCATACTGAAACTTGCGTTCAGGTCTGGATTAAAGTCCAGAGGTTTAGGTTCGGGACCTAAACCCATGACGCAAATTCGCATGCTGGCAAACAATTTACATGCAATTTGAAGAAGTACAATGTACTAGTGTCCAGCGTAACCACTGCAAAAGCTTAGAACTATATTTTACAGTATACAATTTTTTAAAAAGATTCAAAATCTTTTTTAGACATGAATACTAGTGTTGTTGTTTTTTATGTAAGCCCAGTACGTAGTCGCCATGTTTTGTTTTTTTAGGGACCTGAAACAAAACGCTTTTGGACCAGTTTCGGTCCAGTATACCGGTACACACCCCTATTTTTGATGTAGGCAACAAATGTAAGAAGTCACCAAAGTGTTGAGTACACTGCAGAGTTACTTATTTCTGCAGTGATAATTAGACTTTGGTAAAGCAATGTGATACTTCCCTCACCTGGTAGTGTTGCTGTCATTGCCAGGTAGACTTATATGTATCCACATATTCCCAAAGATATGTACCAAAAAACACACTATCAACCTACAGTAACTGATATCTACAGTTAAGTATCAGAACTACAATAAAGTCTTTGCTGTTTACGATTCTTCTATATGGTGCACCCAAAAATCTTTTTGGGTGCACCACTCCAGTTTTTTATTTCTAAAATTGAATTTTGGGCCTTGTGTAATAAAACTATATAATATTGACTGCCTTTTGCCAGCCTACATCGGAGAGTTTGAGATTGTGGATGACCACAGAGCTGGCAAGATCGTGGTGAACCTGACTGGGCGGATGAACAAGTGTGGGGTGATCAGTCCCCGCTACGATGTGGCCGTGAGGGATCTGGAGAGCTGGCAGAACAGACTGCTGCCTTCCAGACAGTTTGGGTCAGTCTTTATCTCTGTTTAAAGGCATGCATTGCAGAGCTCAAAATACTGGGTGCATGTGCACCTTTAAGTGCACTCAAATTAGGAGCTTTGCACCCAATTTTTTCCTGTGGGTGCACCAGTGCACCCAAATATTTTCTTAGCTTTTCATATGTAAACATGACCTTGAAAACCACGAATACAAAAGTACCGCAAATATGAAGTGATTTACAGTAGTGATTTGAGGAATGAATCCACTGTACTTAATAGTGATGCATACCTAAACTCAATTTCAGGTTCAGGTCCGGATTCAAGTCCAGAGGTTTAGGTTCAGGTCCGGACTTACATGTAAGTCCGGACCTAAACCCATGGCATATACAAAATTGCATGTTGGCAACCTTGCAATGTTGTCTGGGTGAAACTTTGGCCACATAACATGGAGGCTGGTACTTGACGATGCCCAATGGCAATGTTTTCTTCATTTTGCAGCAAAGATTTTGGAATCTACAGATGGTTTTAGGTGGTTTAAAAAGAAAAGGGGTATGTGAAATGGTCTTTTATGGTAATAAGTCCGGACTCGGTTCTTGACTTTTAGTTTTTTTCGGACTTGAACCTAAACATTTTTACAAGTCCGGATCCAAGTCCAGTGAACCGGTATGCACCACTAGTACTTAATAAGGGATTTGTATGTTTATTCTGTTCCCCTTTGTGTTCCCAGGTACATCGTACTGACCACGTCATCAGGCATCATGGACCACGAGGAAGCCAGGAGAAAGCACACAGGAGGGAAAATCTTAGGCTACTTCTTCTGATCCAGTCTAAACCGCTCTGCTGAGGTCCGTGCCGACGCTCAGACAAAAAATAATAAACTTGTCACATGTAGACCATCTGGGGTTGTGTGTTTTATTATTTCATGGTTTGGTGTGAGGGATAACATAGAAATGAATGATTTTTCTGTTTCTTACATGTACATGACATTGTATGTGAGAAAGTACCTGGGATGAACTATGGGGGTGGCATGGAGGATAGTGCAAACAAACCAGGCCTCGAAATTAACTTTTCCTATTGTCCCAGTACTGTCCCAAATATAAATTACAATTGTCCCGAAGTGAGGATAAACTGTCCCAACCTGTTTTTTTTTGGGGGGTGACTTCTACTTGAAGTCAACCTCATTTTGCTTCTGTTCACTTCCAGGTGCACTGTCATTGCAGAGTAGATAAGAAATTTTGGGGGGATTTTCTGGAGCCAAAATCTGGTACCTGTTCCTGATGGACAAATGTAGGGCTGACATACTGGTGTTGATTACTTTAATATTGTCCCAAAAGTGTCCCAAAGTGTCTTTTTAGTTGTCCCAGCCAGCCTAGATTTTAGTGGTCAGTGGCGAGCTTAGGACGACCTTTAATTTCGAGCCCTGCAAACTCCATGTGACTCCGATACAGTTCTTGGTCTAGACAAGGTGTCGGGATGGGGAGGGGGGCAGATTGTAACATGGCTTTTGAATTGAGGGTTTGTGTATGATTGTGTACTTGTGTGTCTGTGCCTGCGTATGAGTGTGTATGTCAAAAGGTACTACATTGTGTGTGTGTGTGTGAAGGAAATGAGATTAAATGGTTTAATTTACAGTTGTGCCAATTTTACAGTACGTAAAACTCTAGCTGTGCAGACATTTAGTACGTTACAGACCACTCCACTCCACATAGACTATGCACCCGTGTATATGCATATATGTACACATGTTTGTGTGTGCATTAAAGCAAAGGAAACGAATTTCTCAACTCCTAACAAATTTAGCAGTAGCCTGTCATCACACTGTTTGGATATTTGCTCTGTGTTACAGACCTCACCCAGTCAATTACTGTACAGTTGTATGGACATAAGTTGCCCCATTATATTATTAGCTGCCTGGTACACACAATACATATTGTGCTTCAGTGGACTGGAATATAAGCAATTAATACCTGCCACAGTTCGAATAATTTATTGTGCAGGTAGGAGAAGAAATAAAGTGATCATTTTAGCCCAAGTGCTGCGCGGAATACTACTGCTGCGGTCTACTTGTGCGTATTCAGTCGGTGGAAGGTAAGTCCTTAAGTTACATTTTTAGGGGTACTATATACGTGTATATATATATATATTGACATATATATGTACTAGCTTGGTCTCCACCAGGCTCCTTTGCTGGCTGAATAAATAGTAGAAATCGGCCTAAAAGGGAATGGAGTTACCCGGTCATAGGGGGTCCAATTTGCCTGTAAAGGAGTCTGATGGAGACTACACTAGTTGTAACAAAGACTAAGTGGTCCGGAGTAGGAACGTATCTTAAGTAGTACACTACATGTGTTGGGATGAGCTTGACCTCATGCAAAAAGCGGTATCAGCGACATATTCGTAGAATTGGTAGGAAAAAGTAGAAATATGGCTGTTACTGTCCAAATCTAAGACCTCACCATCATTGCTACATGTTCAAGATAGCCGTCAGAAGGATAAAAAGCAGTTCATTATAAAATTCGTATTTTTTTTTAATTATAGATTTCTACCATTTCGCATATTTGAACAAAAAATAGGGAAAAAATAAGATAGAATATGTGCGTAAGACCTTTGAAGCCGCAATCGTGCATTTAGACGTACCCCTGCTAGTAGAAAACTGCAAATGTTGTGTTAAAAAGTTACACCAATTATATCTTACATAGCTATATACCGTAAGACTAATTCCTGAAGATATCCATTGAGTATTTTGTAGTTGGTACGCATTTCTATTGTAAAAGTTTGGAAACGTTGGTCAGTAGATTTGTCAGGTTAATTTGTCAACAATGTAAAATATACGACATTGGTGAATGCCATGCGTACTCAAAAACACCCTTTATTAAACATTTTCTTAAGGATCCAAGAAGCTAAAAATTCGCGCCACTGCACTTTTTCATGTCGACACAAAAGGCCGTCTAATAAATATACATGTATATTTTCTCCAGAGGTGGCAAAAATTTGAACTGGGATGAAAGTGAAGAAGGATGTGGTTTAGTTGTATTTTGACTTGTCTAAATCTAGTACTTGGGCTAAACAGAGTGTCTGGGTCAACAGAGTTGGATAGGGGCGTAGCATTTGCGGCAGAAGTTGCGATTAGAAAGTGTGTGTGTGTGCTTATATTTGTATGTGTTTGTGTGTGTGTGTGTGTGTGTATGTGTGTGTGTGTGTGTGTGTGCGTGTGTGCGTGTGTATGTGTGTGTGTGTGTG